CTCTTAATCCCTTTCGCCCTTTCGGTCTTTTCCAACACAAGTAATATAAGAGCGATGATTAAGATTCTTAACTAAGGAAAATTTCCTAACATGATGTGATTTGATGCGATAGAGTGGCGCAACATGAGAGATAGTGGACTTTCATCTGATCACTATCCATCCCTAGCTTTTCTATATATATATATATTTTCCAGATGTCTACTTTTCTATTCCCTTATACGGATTAACAAAGTACAAAACGACGCAGTATTTTTCTATTTTTCTAGGCATGCAATACGACAAATATACCACATTTGTAATTAAATAACTAAACGTGTTTCAACTCACATCTTTGGATTAAAATACAGATCAAAACATCTAACTCCTACAATTTTAAATCACGCCACCAACCACCGATGATAAGCTGAAGCCACTGATGAGTGTCCAAAGCCATCCCTTTCTTTCAATTTCAATGTACGCTAAATTAATTTCTAACGTCCAAGCCATCATTTTCTTGTATTACATTATATATTTGATTTTGGTGATATCAATATGGATGTTTGTGCAAATTTCCTACTGGAGAATATTTGCGGATCAATCTTTTCTCTCGAACATTCTTCTATTAGATTCTCAATGAAAAATCAACGGTGTTGTAGTGGTCAAGAGCACTTCGATATCTAAATCAGTAATATAATTTCGGAAGATACAGATAATACTAAAAGGATAGAGATATTTATCTACAGAAGATATGTGACTTGGGAGCCGAGTAAATAAGAGAAGTGACGACAGCGTCAGACACGAAGATAAGAGCAGGGGAGAATTTCGGCTAGAGAGAGATAAAGTAATTTTCGGGTAAAAATCTAATTGAGAGAGGAATTTCCAATTGAAATAGAAATTCAAGATTACCTTCCTTCTTTCCTCCTTTAAAATAGGCTTCCTTCCTTATAATTTCTTTTTCTTTTCGACTATCCTTTTTGCACGCGATTACGCGCAGAGGTTTTTTTATTAAAAAAAAAAATTTATTTTAGAATTGAAAAATATTAATATGGGTAGTTATGTTCCATAAAAGTATGAGCTATTATCTGATTTTATTTTAATTTTTAATTTTTTAATATGAAAAATGTGAATTAACCATATTATTATCATTTAATTAATAATTATAACTCTTAATGTTTGAATTAACCAAAGACATTTTTTGATATTTTGAATGTTTCATCATTGTCTGCATTTTGGTTTATATATTTTCTTTTCCATTTATGGAGGGAATAAATGAAAATTATTCTTTTTCTGATTAATAGATTTGAAGGAAGTTATGGAAGGAAATAAATGAATTGAGAGAATTTATGAAATTTATTCCCTCAACCTAAATTAATAACTCCCGTATTAAATATATATTAAATCAAAATATTAATTAAATAATATAAGATTTTTCTTTTGCACGTGTGTCAAAATATTACTTAAATAATATAAGAATTTTCTTTTGCACGTGTGCCTCTTGATTAGGAGTTGAATTTATTTGCTTTATATTTGATTAGGCGTCGAATTTATTTGCTTCTACAAATATAAAGCATTGCAAAGAATCCACTAGTATAATGATTTAGATTAATTACTTCCCAACAAAATCCTAAGCTAAGAATTTGGATTAAATGCTCCCCAATAAAGTCCTAAATTCGAGTCTTAACATCCATATCAATATTGTGTGTGTGAGTTTAGTATAATATCATAATATCATCCATATCAGTATTGTGTGTGTGAATTTAGTATAATATTACCCCTTTCAATAGACAAAAAATCCAATCCTAAAACTTTTTTAGGATTGCAGGGTCAAGGTCGGTATATCTTCAGCTAGTCCGGTCGACCCATAGATACTTGGGTCAAGTTGGACTTAGACCACAAGCTCCCTTGTGGCCCAAATGAACTAAAAAACACAAAATACTATTTCCTTTTACTACACCAGTGATGATGAGTCATGAATCATGTAAGATGTTATACATCAGAGGGCAGAGCCAATTTTTGTAGCTTCAAAAACAAAAACCAAAACAAAAGAACGTACCTACAATACGACACAAAAAACAAAAGTACTACACCACCATTACAAGGTCAGCTCCACACTACACACGGTGGACGCGATCACATTTTACCCGGGCTCTCCACCCTCACTTTTCCATCGTCATCAATGCGCACCTCCACGCGCGCTTTTCCACCATCCAAACGACCCACATCGTTGAAATTTTGACCATGCATCTGATCAGACGAATAGAGCTTACCCGCCACCTCACCTGGCCTGGTCTCCGCCACATCAACCTCCTCCCTCTCCACAACATCGGTTGGCTGAGTTAACTTGCTTTTAATGGCACCGGTCACGCCGCCAAATGAGCTCAACATATTTCCCTTGGCTGCCTTCCCTTTCTCAGCCTCAATGTCACGTGCCTCACGGGATCTACCACCAGCTTCGTCCTTGTACTCTTTCCCTTCCACCTTCAATTCCTCCATCTTTCTCCTTGCTTCCTCCTCAGTCTCGCTCAACTTCTCCTGCATATATTTAACAAAACTCGACCATCAGAATTTGTTAATATGGAAATGAAAGAAAATGCAACATATTTGTGCAACACATTTTTCAAATATATATGAATACGAGAATGAACGATTATTCTTTATTACCTTGGTTTTCTCTTTTGTTTTCTCAGTAGTGTCGGCAGCCTTATCTTTTGTTTGCTCTGCAGTCTCGGCAGCCTTCTGCTTGGTCTCCTCTTTCTTACCAGACAAGTAGTCCATGGCTTTTCGAGCAGCGCCGGCAGCCGTGTCCTTCAGCTCGCCCAACTTACTCACAGTCGTGTCCTTCCCTTCTTTTGCTCTCTCATCTGTGTAGTCCTTGGTCTCATTGGCCTTCTCGGCTGTTGTGTCCCTGGCCTCCTTGGCCTTCTCTGCAGCATAATTTGTATACTCGCTTGCTTTCCCAACAGTCGTGTCTTTAGCATCCTTTGCTTTCTCAGCGACATAGTTTGTATACTCACCAGCTTTCCCCATTGCCGAGTCTTTCGTCTCATTCACCTTCTCGGCGGCCTCCTTAGCCTTTTCAGCAGCATAATCCTTGGTCTCTTTTGTTTTGTCAGCAGCATAGCATGTATAATCGCTTGTTTTCCCCATTGTCCTGTCCTTTGCTTCCTTGGCCTCTTGAGCTGCTGCGTCCTTAGTCTCCTTGGCCTTCTGTGCTGCATAACCAGTATACTCACTTGTTTTCCCCATTGTTGTGTCCTCCGCCTCCTTGGCTTTTTGAGCTGCCGTGTCCTTTGCGTCCTTAGCTTTTTGAGCTGCTGTGTCCTTCGACTGTTTCGCCTTCTCAGCCGCGGTACCCGTGTACTCATTTATCTTCTCCCCCGCGGAGCCCGTGGTCTCTTTGGCCTTCTCTTCAACATGACTTTCATCGTGGCTTTTCCCCACCACAGCATCCTTCGCTTGCTCTAGCTTCCCGGTCACCGTCTTCAGCACCGACCCGATCACCCCAGGTTTCTCTTCATGCACTTGCTCTGCTGGCCTCCCCAGCTCATCAGTAGGCATATAAGTAGTCTCAATCTTTGTTTTTTCTTCATAGACTCGGCTTTTGTTCACGTCTCTCAACTCATCCGCTACGAGCCTTGCTGCGGCATCGCCTCTCTCCTCCTTGGCTTGCCTCGACGCCATTGAAACACTCCAAATTGCACACAGTATTTTATCAAACACTCTGTATGCTTGCTTTCGAGTCTTCGATTTTTTTTTCCCTTCCCTTTTGGTACAGGAGAAGGTGAGAGGTGGCCTAATAGTATATATAATCGGTGGAGTTTTGAGAAGGTGACACGTGGAGACGGAGCGCGGTGTAAATTGCTACGTGGTATCGTGGGACGAGACTTCAATACGTCGGCATGCATGCAAAGCGATGAATGGCAGTGTGGGACCTGAGAACTTTCGGTCCTTGGTCTTTTGATATGGTTGCGTTCCACGGGTCCTGGCAGGTGGCGAATTGGGCTTGCTTTGGGTTCTTTGATCGGTTTCCTCGGGTGGATAAGTTTTTTTGTTTTTGTTTTATAGGTTTTTTTAGCACATTTTCTATTGAATGGGTCTTTGCTCGGGTGGATAAGTCTTGGCTAAGAAGAACGTAGAGTTCTAATTGAACTTCCATTTGGTCTATGAATCAGGACAAATAATACGGCGTCGGGTTGGAACGTAGATAAAACCCAGTCTAATTAGATTGTCCAATAAAGCCCAATCCAACAAGCTCTATTAATTCTACGTCCTTTGTTTTTTGGATCAATTGCTCTATTAGTTCAACTTAATCACCTATTATTTGTCTATTTTTAATAAATTTATACCCAATCCGGATATGTGACTCTAAGATTTAAGTGCATCATGCATGATGAATTCCTTTTAACATGCAATTGTGATGCTATAAAATGTCACATAGAAACTGTTTATGCAAAATGTTTGTTTATCCATGTTATAAAAGTGTCTACAAGTTTCAGAATGAAAATGGGTGTACATGTCTATATTTATATATTGAGATATTGGAGAAAATTAATTAGATAACATATTATTTTCTCATTAATCCAATTATATGAAAGCAATACAATCATTGTGACTGTCATCTTTTAGGGTCCTAAATTCACAGTTGAGATTTATGCAAATTCCCTAATCCCAGCACATCATGTCAATCACAGAAGCCTACAGCTATGACCCAATATCACCTATGGTTGGATTGAAGTTTGCTACTCTGTCTTGGTAAGGTTCAAGCTACCATCAAATATACCCAGTTAGGAATTCTTATGAAAAATGGGTTGTCCAAAAACAATATTGGTTCATCGACTCTTCGCACTTGCATTATTGTAATTTGTTCTTTTTTAGGCCAATACTAATCAAGAATTGGTAACGGTAATTCTCTAGGGACTTTATAAAAATCAAAACACACAGAGGAAAAAAAAAGAGCCTACAACATGTAATTTATTTTCTCACTTGTTACAAATTGAAAATCCTTGAAAAAGAAAAGAATTTCATGCACTTAAAAGGTCTAATTGATCATCATGCACTCTAACATTCAATCTTCTGAGCCATATAGAATGGAGGATCATATGGAACACATCAAATCGCTTGGGAGGAGAATTGACCTCGAAATGCTTCCTTACTTGTACCACTCTCCTCTGCATTCTTATGTACTGTTTTGTAGAAATGCTCATTAGTATGTTCTTCAAATTGGGAATTTCACTCACTTTAACCTCCACAGAGAAAGACTTCCAATTCAAAACATCACTGAATGGTGGCACATAATGGTCTGAAATCAGCACAGGAACACACCCAGTGTAAATTGCCTCCACTACCCTTGGGCTTGCAACTTCATATCCACTTGGGCAGAGGCAGAACTTGCTATGTCTCATCATGTCATAGTAAGAAATACCCTTTGGAAGGTACTGATGCACCCGTAAATCCTCGTCCTTGTTCTCCCAATGCTCTAGCAGCACCGGCCTAATAGGGCCGTGAACCCCTCCGGCAAAGAAAGCTAGGATTGAGCGTAGCCTTGGAGAAGGCCCGCCAAGAAACCCATGTGTGTCACCAGTTTGAAGATTGATTTCCGGAAAGGATACATCCTTAGAAGGGTTGAACCCTTCTGAGGTATTTGCATTGCATAAAACACGAATGGAGTTTTTTCGAAGATGAGGATCTGAGTTTGAAGTTTCTGGCCCCTGAAACATAATCCAAGTAATTTAAATCAGAATGTTATATTGGTTTAGCTAGTATTTGTGCTACATTACAATGTGATAGTAATTAATATTAAGTAGTAAGAGTAACATACCCAATCATGGCAAGCAAGCATAAAGTGATCAGCTCCAAGGCTTCGGTTCCAATAGGAATATTTTCCAGAGACAATATTGACATAGTCTCTTACTGTTTGTCTAATGGGACCAAAATCATGTGAGTCACGCACATACACAAAGCGGACCAACATTGTCACGCTGAAAGGAAGAAAAAAAACATGTGCTTTCTCAGGGTCGTGGGTCCGAAATTGCTTATTCACCTCAATTTCATGGATAAAATTCCCCTCCATTGAATATATGCTCTTGCAAGGGCCGTTATGAAACAATGGGGGTTCCCCTTCTCCATAAACAAAAACCTTGAACCGTTTCTCCATCTCCAAGTAGCTCCTGTAATTTCAAAGGGGTACTATCAATGAGATAACATGTTTGAAATAAGAGCAATTAGCCATCCCTTGGTATACAATTTGTGTCACATCTTTAAAGTTGCAAATTACATGTTTGTAACAATGAAAGATTGAAACACCCAATTGGCCTTCTCAATAGTAACCCACCAAATTATTTGATAATTAAGACTCAAATATGGAGTAGGTACCTTTGAAAGGCATTGGCTTTCCAATACATGGGACCATTTGGAATGTAGTCCACATCTTGTGTTTGATTTCCAAATTTAGCTTCTCTTATGGCAGCTCGAGCTCTTCTAAGGCGGGCCTCCAGCCACCCTAAATTAGTATTTTTTCGTTGTCCTTCAGCCTTCACAATAGAAACCTGCGTCTCATTCGCGTAGTCGTGTCGCCTTGTACCATTCTATGTTGAACTGATTAATTGTTAGATTTACTATCTCTTAATCAATTATTTAATATCTAATCTGCTCTCATATAAAAAATCTATAAAAGAATCAAATTATTGCTTAGAAAAAGAGCAACCGCTGGGAATGTGACCCCATTAATAAGTTTGGAACATTTACCCGGGGCAGTACTTAATTAGTAGAAACTAAACACGTAATGAGTAGATACAAAAGCACAAAGAGTGCCGTAAAGGGTCTAAGCAATTAAATTCATTTATTATTTCTCAATTAAATCATTCACCAAAACGAGAGTTGATGGGGAAAGGGACATTCAACTGTGACAGCAAGCAACTTCTACAGAAACCTAAAACATGTCAAAATGCATCAATATATATATATATATATGTATGTATTTCCTCGATCCTAATAAAAAGTTTAAGAAAAATTAATTTAGTTATGCAGTCAATTTGGAAATGCATATTTTTTCTTTCTTCCTGCAAACGATTTTTTCCTTATACTTGTAGGTCAAAGAGCAGCCAGCCAAAAATTACAGAAAATTCTTAAAGTACGGGCCAAGCCGAATTCTTTGTTTTGATTTATTGTATTTTTCCTACCCCCATAAAGAAAAAGAAAAAGAAATTCTTGAATTATTTTCAATGAAAAAAGCAAAAGCATCAACAAGAATATGGCAAGAACAAGCAAGCAAGCAACTGAAAAATGAAGTCCATAGAGAATAGGAAAAGAAATTGTAAATGCATGTGTAAAAGGTGGAGCTCTCTTACTGTTTGTTCAAGTGTTGGTGGTACAGCTTCTTCAATGGAGAGTGGAGGAGAAGAAGATCGATTTTGCAGAGAGTCATCCGAGTGAGCTTCTTCTATGCTGTGCATATCCACCACAACAACCGACGATCTCAACCCCAAAACGTCATCGTTTATTGGAGGAAACTCTGAAGAAGAATTTGAAGCACCGGTCAAGTTCAAAGAGGGGCTGGAGCTCTGTGAGTTCCATAGCCAAGGGTAAGAATTAGATATGAGAACCCAGTTGGAGGTTTTTGGACCCAACAAAGTAACCAACCCAAAAACCACAACCAATGGAACAACAAACAGCAAGATGGCCATTGATGAAGCTGAAGAAGAACATGCATATTGATTGCCCCATCTTTTGCTGCTATTGGCCATCAAGTTTTGAGGTAGCTAGCTAAAGGAGAGATTCTTAAACTAGTTTAGGTATAGCTTCTGATTCAGAAGCTGTCTTGTTTGTTTGCTGAGAAAGTGGGAGAGTTTTGGGGTTTTTAATTATTTTCTGGGAGGGAGAAGAAAACATTTGGTAATAAATGGTTGCGTCTTCACGCCAAGCGTCCTCTTATGCTGCCCTCTATTTTCGAGTTCCTCATGCAACTTTTGTGTTTCCCATTTTGACCTTTTCGAATTTTTCCATCTAATTTTCGACTACCTCCCACCGATAAGTTTTATTTAATTCCCACCTCTCTCATCTCGCCATTACACTCGCCGTTTGCTGCACCCACGCACGAGGGCACATGATGTAAGACTCCCAAGGTGAATATTTGTGAAGCAAGTAATAATAATAATAATAAAATAGGAAGAAAATTAAATAACATGCAGACAGATAATATTGATGAAGTGAACCCATGTAATTAAATATAATGACGAAGAGCTTAAAAAGGAAGAATATCAACTATTAATGAACAAAAGAAATATCTCATTCTGAGGAACATCCGCGGTATGTGGGAAACTTTGTTAATTATCAAAAGAAATAATAGTGTTGGAGAGTGGGGGCAACATAAGGCCGGACCCTAGTTACAAACATCAATGTTACTTCTTCATTAGATTGGTAATGAATAAACGGAAAATTGGCCTCTGCCATACTCTTACTCGTAGCCCTAATGCCCTCACCAATAACACCCTGGAGTGACAAATTCTCTTTAGAGCCACAGCCTCGAACCGCTAACACGATTCCTTTCGAAATTGACATATCATAATACTTGGTTTCAAATGTTATTTTACGAAATGTCAAATTGCCACAATAACAAAATAATTCATTTTAGTAATTAGTAAATGCACATTATAGCCACACATAACACACTTTTTATTCTAAATACAGCAATTTTCATATAACTTTCGACTGTACAAAAAGAATATATAAACGTATTTATGTTTTCTTGGACTGTGACAAGGAAACTCTTATCTTATGCTTCTTCTTTCTTTTATTAATTTCCTCTTTTTAAATAGGAATATTTGATGCCTCTCATTCTCAAGCAAACTAAAATAAATAGAAAAAGCCATCAATAAGGGACCCAAGTTAGATTTTGCCCTTTAATCTTACTGCATATAATTCGTCGTGTAGCAAATCGTAGCATCTAATTCCCAAAAGGCCAAAGCCTAAGCGCATGAAAATCACGTAAGAAAATTTGTACATTAGTGAAGAAGAAGAAGAAGAAGAGGCTTTTTCTTTTCTTTTCTTTTCTTTTTTTTTAAAAAAAGAAGGCACATTTGTTTGGTCTTATGTGTTGTTGTTAATTATTATTTTGTTATTAAGGCGGCCAAAGCTGCCCTCATTTGCTGTTGTTTAGTTGTTGCTTGTTATATGGATACCGAGCAGAAGCTCAAGGCCATGGCCCATGGCAGAGAGAGAGAGAGAGAGAGAGAGAGAGAGAGAGAGAGAGAGAGCAACTCAAAAGGAAAGGGCAATAAGGTCTTTTCGATGTTGTTTAGCTGTTGCTGTTGGACCTCGTGAGTTGACACCTCTCATTTACTTCTGCAACGGGCGACGTCAGAAGTCTAGGCTTTTATTTCCCTTTTCTTCCCCTTCTAATCTCTCTCTTTGTTGCTTGCTTAATGTACGGGTTTACCTCCCGTTTTATTCTAATATTTTCGGGGCTGCGTGTACCCGTGTGGTTTCCGTTTGTGATTGAACTCTCTGTGTTAAAAAAAGAAAAGAAAAAACTGCATGCTGTCCTTTGAAATAATGCAACTTGAAAGTAGGAAACTGAGCTAAATTTTCAAAGGGGCAGAGGTTAATTTTGAAAGGAAGTAATGAAATTGGATTGGTTAACTTTTGGGTAAGTCTTGCAAGGCTGCCAATAATAAAGAAGAAAAGTAGAAGAATTTGTGCAATATCCTACTATTATAAGTATCAACGTGGTTAGCAATAGACGTGATGGAACAACTCACACCTATAAAATATACATATATGTATATAATTCATTAATATATATGGTATAGGGTTTATTAATTTCACATTTCTTAAATTTTTTTTTAATAAATAATATGGCCGCATTGCTATACGTTTTAAATATATATATATATATATATATATATACAGAGAGTTTCCATTGAGGGATCCCTCAAATAAGCTTATTAATAATACTCTAAACTACTCTTATCATAAAGGAGAATCAAGGAAAAAAATTATGAAAAAAAGGATGCTAGTATATATTTAAAGAGTATAGATGCGCAACTATACTATTTTTGAAAAAAAATATTTTTAAAAAAGACCACCGTCTATAAATAGAACATTTCATAAGTACAGATCGGCTATACAGTATAAATAGCATTTTTTAAAACGTATAGCCTACAGCCGCTCGGCTATACCGCATAAATAGCATATTTCACAAGTATAGCCGAGCGGCGGTACGCTAAAATAGAAGTTTTTAAACGTATAGCCGCACGGCTATACTGTCTCATATTTCATAAGTATAGCCGTGCGGCCCTACTTTATAATTAGAGCATGTCTCCTCTTACCAAATTGCCTGTTTTGACTTTTTCTCTTCTTCCATTCTTGTGCTTGTCCTCCAAAGCCATGGAGGTTTCATACGATGGAAGAGCGAAGAATAATACTATCTGATTCAATCCATTATCCACGAAGTACATTTGATGTATGTGTTCATTTCTTTTCTTTTTTGAACAAAAAAAATAAAAATAAATCTGAATGAGTTTCATCTTATACGTATTTATTTATTTATTTTTGCATGTAGATGTGGCCGGATTTGATTCACAAAGCGAAAGAAGGTGGTCTCAACTCAGTACTATTGAGACTTATGTTTATCTGGAATTTTCATGAGCCTCAATGTTGTCAGGTTTTCTTAATTAGTTTTTCTGGATTAGTTTCTTTTTCGTTTATGACGTTAATTCATTTCCTAAGCACAAATTTTAAGGTTTCTTTTGCTTTTGTAGCAAGACCATCTTCAACCCTTGGGGTGGAAACTCAAATTTTGAGTTTGGCCTCCAAAAACCATCTCCAACCCATGTATTTTGGGGCGTGGAAATTTGAGAAATCTCAAATCTTGGGTGGAATTCCAGTCCATTTTTTGCCTCGACTGATAATTTTGTGGGCCCAAAATCTGTTTTTTTTTATATATTTTTTTTCTGATTGAAGCCCATGTGCTGCACAATGTTTGCTGGGCCCAGTTTTGGTTACACTGTTTGGGCAGCAACTTGTGTGCAAAAATATCTGATTTTGTTTTTTTTTTTTTTTTTTTTCCAACAACTATATTTGTAATCAATAATCATGATTAATTTTAAGCAATCTCAACGGCAAAATTTAATGATTGTCGTTTATTTAAAAATGCTTAGATAATTTAAACACACTTACATAATTCAATGAAGAGTTCGAATTATTCCGGGCATACGTATGGTATTGTACTTATTTTTATTTTTTAAGTGAAATTCAATTATGTTTTGGAATTTTATTTTTTTTAGGTTAAAATGTTTAGAAAATTAAATCACGAGTGTTGAAACAAAAATAATGTCAAGAAAAATTAACAAGAAACAAAATTTAGGGGTTAATCATTCTTAAACAATTTAATAAAGTTGCGGAATCAAATTATGAGTCTACAAGGTTGGAGGAAAAAAAAATTTGAGTCCTGAAAATACATGAATAGTTGTATTTTGGAGGGTGAAAATTTGAGTTTAGCCCCAACATGGTTGGAGATGGTCTAAGATTTTTCAGGAAATCATGACTTGGTCCAATTCATTAAAGAAATCAGCGAAGGAGGGCACCGCGCGTTCAAAAAAAAGAAAAAAGAAAAAAAAAGTGAAATATGAAATTGATTTTTAGTAGATTTCAAAATCAGGGCTGATTTTGAAATATGTTTTCACTTTTTTTAAATTTGAAAACTGAAATTAGTTATCAATCATGTTTTTCAGTTAAAAATAAAAATAAAAAAGACAACTGAAAACCGAAAATGAAATAGTTATCAAACAATCCCTTAAATTAGGATGAAGTTATCCGTTTGACAACCATTTCAATTTTAGTTTTCACTTTTTGTGCTAAAGTAACAAAAGTGAGAATGATGAGAGTGGAGATGCGTTTGAGAGGGAAGATGAGAGGGGAGGATATGAGGGAGACATAACAAAAGTTAAAACAAAAATTAAAAACTGAAATCTATTTGAAATTATTTTCACTTTCAAGTTTTTGTTTTCACTTTTGTTACTCCTCCCTTCAATCATCCCCTCTCATCCTCTTCTCAATCTCATTCTCACTCCCATTCTTACTCTCGTTTTCCTCTATACTTTAGAACAAAAAATGAAAACTAAAAACTAAAATTGAGATGATTATCAAACAAGCTAGTTGCTGAAGAATGAATGGTTTGGTTTAGAAATTAGACCATGTAAGTAATTTGATTTGTTTGTCAACCGGGCCTTATCTATTTTTTGCCAACACTATTCAGAAGTTCACTTACTCGTACTATTGTAATTCAATTCTACTGGAAAATTACACTTTCTAAATACAAACATGTTACAATTCACAAAACCTCTTAATTGGCTACCAAAAAGATGAGGCAACCATAACTCACCAGTAATCTTTGCATGAGCACTGACCACTAGAAAAATAATGAACTCCTGAAGAATCCCTTGCATATATTGCTCTTCCGGTGACAATAGACATGTATTTCAAGAATGTATGGCAGTCTCCACATAGAAGGATGTTCTTCACGATCCGAACTGGTTTTCCTGGCTTGCTGGTCAGAAGCCCGTAGGTCGCTGCTAGTTTTGCGCTGTGATAGTACAAGAAATCCTTCTTCTGGTGCTCTTCTACTTCCTGAAGAACAAAGCTTGTGTCCGGCACATAACCAGCTTTTAGACATTCTAAGATCAGT